TCGGCCAATTTGTGTAACAGTCTTGATAATTGTACAGATGAATTCTGGGTAGATTTGGGCACGCCTCAGAATTGTAGTGTGAGCGGTATCGGAGCGAAATTGGAGCGAGACAAAGCGACCGCTCCAGCCTTAATTAGAAAACCCGCTCCGCACTCTGACCAAATTCCGCCCGCTCCGCTCACATGCTCTGATGTGTACTGTGTCTGTGTGCAGTTTGCATATTCTGCTGTGTTGTGAAGGGATCCTCTAGCAGTCAATTTTCTGAATGGCTAACTGGTATCTCTAAACTGCCCATAGTTTTAGGATGAATGCCTTTATTAAAAACTAGATTTGGTGCTGCTGCAAACATCAGCACTGTATTCCCCCAGACAGGCTATCTAAGCCATATTAGTCCCACACTCAACAGCTTGTAAAATTTCTAGAATGACTGGATAGATCACCTGAAAATGTTAACATTAATAAATGTGTTTTTGCCTGAATGGTGAGAGTCTATGTTGTGATATACAAGATTGAAAATAGGTTTGCAAAGAGATGGAAAATTTCCTGTAAATTTCCACAAACTTACTAGAAAATTGCCGTAAGAAGTAGGGTTGCAATAGGGCAGAAATATTCCATGGAAAGTTCACCTGGGGAATTTTGGATCCCTGTGGAACTCCACACAAAGTTTTAGATACGGCAAAGAAAGCAAACTGTATGAATAACACAACAGAATATGACTTTTTGATGCAGATGCTAATTTTGGGGTGTTTTTATGCACACATAATTACTCATTCATATTGATATTACTATTAGTGCTGTCAAGATGTTTAACATTTAAGTTACCTGTTTTAAGTTAACCTGCAATTTTGCAAATTTCCAGTTTATTCCCATTAGTTGCCAAGGAAAGTTTCCAATTTTGAAAATCCACAGAATTTTGCAACCCTAACTGAAAGTACACTTATTCATTTAGTGCACATTCCATTTATAGGATAATTTGTAGAATCCTTCCCCACCAGTTTTTTTCACTGCACCAGGTACAGAAGTTTTGGTACTTCAAGGTAAGTTTCCACATAAAAACTGGTACCAGCGCTGTATGACACCCCAACAAGACGCAGGGTGTTTTGTATTGAATTTGAAAAATGGCTGTACAGTAAAATCCCATTATACCCTCAAGGGACCTGGCAAAATAGTCAGAGAGGTTAGGTGGTAGTTTGGGCGGAGCTTAAAGCACTTTCCCATCTATGACATCATAAGCAGGAGGTGGGCGTGTCCTTTGTTCTGATTGGTCGGGGGAGGGGGGTTTTGGCCAAATGGTGTCATACATGCTTATGCCACATGTTGCCGATAGGGGGTCGTATGGTTTGGGGGGTTGTTAAACTTTAACTCTCTGGGGTCGAGTATGTTGTCGGCGACATCGCGTACTTTTCGCGTCTATTTCAGTTTATATCTCGCTGAAATCTTAATGTAGAATCATGAAAAAAACGCTGGCTAAATCCGTAATCTGTCCGTAATCAAAACGTCCATTGTCGGAAGTATTAAAGTTTTTTTAATTAAAGGTTAAATCGGCAGAAAAGTAAACCATGTCATCTTACTTTGTTTTACCTGCATCGGGGTCGTGTAGTGCCGCTCTCACCTGAAGATCGCTATTCACATTCTAAATAGCCGCATTAGTGCGTATTCAAATCGCATTCGCATGGTAATTTGATTAACAGCGCAACGGTGAAACGCGATCCAGATACATCCCCTTCAGCG